CTTCGACAACGACGACGACGAATCTCCCTTCCCTGTGCGAACGGAACCAAACTTTTATTGTCTATTAAACATATCACTCACTTCTTGTTTCCCCACACGCATATGTCGCTCTTATAGCAAAAGGCAGTGGATGATCAAAAACTGTCGCAATATACTCAGGGAACGGTCAGGAAATCGAGGAGGGAGAAAGAGAGAGAAGCGGCAGAGGCTAAGAAAAGAGAAGAGGAAGAAAATGCTGCCAAGGCTTATGCAGAATTCCTAGATGCCTTTGAAAGTGAAGAATCTAACAGAAAGAAGCAAGGATCTACTTTTGTCAAGTCAGGTCAGGAAGGTGTCTATGTACCATCTGCACCGTCTGCTATGAGGGGCAGAGGTGAATCATCTAGGACTGCGAGCATGTTCACACAGGATCATAGGGTGAGTGGATGAATTCTGCTTTGCTTGCTCTCTCGGCTGATATCTCTGGGCCGTATTTTCAGCCACTGTCTCCACCAGCTGCTGTTCCTAAACCTAAAGGAAAGCGTGCCATGGACTCTTTCCTGGAAGAAATCAAAAAGTATGTACCCAAACAACGCCAGCTCTGGATCAATTTAATGATTCTTGACTATCTTGTCAGAGAGCAAGCTTTGCGTGAAAATAGACTTGGTAGGCATGGTATGAACCGTTTCGTCCATAGTCGCTCTTCAACTCCAGTTAACAAATATTTGGTAGCGACCCAAGGTCGATCAATTACATCCATTGCTGCTTATGAAGGCCAAAGTGGTAGTAAAGATCGTGGTGATCCTGAGGTCCGTCAGACGGTTCACCCCAAAGCTCTGACTAACTCATTTCTCAAAGACGTCGAATGTGTTCGTCGCGAACCTACCACCGCATGTGACCGAACAAAGCCTTGGTCAGTTTTTTGCAAGGATGGGTCCTGTTGGTTCTGTACGTTTCGCCGCAAAATCTGCATGTGTTCTCATTCTCATATTAGTTTATTGTCACTTAGGTCAAAATCATGTGGCCTCGGGGAGATGGGTCAATAGGGCCAGGAGCAGATATGACATCAAGCAGACGAACGAAGAACTCAGGTCTAAGCGGGTTTGTTTCTTTCATGAAACGAAGGGACGCAGAAGCTGCACTTCGTGAACTAGACGGGTTTGATTGGGGAGGATCCGTTCTTCGCGTCGGATGGAGTAAAGCAGTACCTATGGCTGCAAAACCTATGTTTGGTGAGCCGTTGCTTGTTTGTTTGTTGTGTCATCTAATTTGTCCTTAATGATGTTTTTCTTTACCTCTAGTATCTAATAAAACTCGGTCACCTACTCCTTCACGCTCTCGATCGCGTTCCCCGAAGCCGCATTCTAAATATTCAAGATCACGTTCTCCCGAAAGAGAGAAGGAAGGAGGAAAAGATAGAAGTTATCATCATCATACGTCACGGAAGTCAAGGTCACACAGTCGAGATGATCGTTCATATAGTCGGTCACGGTCACCAAGTCGTTCTCATCATCGACGCTCATACAGTCACGATCGTTCACGGCGGTACGACAGTCGGTCAAGGTCCCCGAAGAGACGACGATCACATAGTCGAGAATTTGATGATGATGAAATCACCGATCAGTACATTAGGATCGTTGCCCGCGAAGTGAAAGGACATGGCGAGGAATATGAAGAAAGTTTGAGGGAAAGGGAGAAGTCAAACCCTACCTATGCTTTTCTAAAGAAGAATGTACGTTCACTCTCATTTTTCTACCTCGATCGCATCGTAAGCTGACCTATCATCAGCATCGAAGATATAGATTCTATCGATCACTGGTAGACCGGAAAGATGACCTTGAGCCAGAATTCGACGATGAGGGTTACAACTCGGTATATTCGACGGATTCTGCGGAGGAATCTGAGCGAGAACGAGTTCGAAAGAATGAACTCGGCAAACTCGCCAAGAAGCGTTTTGAAGCGATGTTACGTGCTCTATCTGGACGCAGAGGAGAGTTGGCGCGTTGTATGGCTTTTAGTCTCGAACATGCTGAAGCTGCTGGGGAGGTGAGATGATTATGTTGACTTATTAGATATAAACGGTCCTGATATATTCCTTCTACAGGTTGCAGATATCATAGTGTCGTCTCTGCTGGTGGACGGTACTGCGGTTCCCCGAAAGGTTGCTAGATTACACCTGATATGCGACATTTTGCACAACTCTGCTGCACCACTTCCTATGGCATGGAAGTTCCGACAAGAATTTCAAGCACGACTAGGCATTGTCTTTGATCACCTTTCAACTATCTATCATTCATTCCCAGGCCGAATTACAGCAGAGACATTTAAGAAACAAATCACATCCATTGTTGACATTTGGGAGGATTGGATTGTTTTCCCACCGGACTTTACTGCAGAGCTGCGAGCTAGATTGGAAGGGTCGACTGTGCAAAGAGACTCTGCCCAGGTGATGGATACGACAGAAGAAGAGAATCTTGCCGAGCAGTCTGATACAAGGAGTTTCCAGTCCAAGTTCAAAGCTAGCTCGTTCAAGCCGGCTGCTGCTGCTAATGAAGAGCCCGTAGGGATGGGTGAGGCACCCATGGATGAGGGCAGTGATGTGGATGGAATTCCCATCGATGACGACCTGGATGGGGCACCTATTGGGGATGATGTTGATGGTGAGCCCATTATTGCCGACATTGAAGAGCCAATTGGTGCAGATGTGGACGGTGAGCCCATTGGAGATGTAGACGGTGAGGCTATGGATGATGTGGATGGCGAGCCGATGCAGGCTGAGGATGTGGATGGGGAACCGATGGACGATGACATTGACGGTGCACCTGTAGATATTTGAGATGATGTGATAAGTAGATTCCTGTATTGTATATGTTATTTTTCTTGCCTCGAGGCTATTACCCACTCGGAAAACGCCGAAGCACGCGTCGAACATGAACCATGCACGCGAGGGAGAGTTGATTTCCTGCCTTTCTTCAGTTTTACTGCTGATAGTCTATTCTTTTCATTTTCTCATGCCGCTGCGATCCCTCCTCCTCCCCGCCTCTGAATGCACTTAACCACTGGTCCTCCTCTTCTTTTTGCCCTAGGCATCAGAATAATCATCAACTTATTCAATCCTGAACACTCACCATCCATTTCAGACCACATCCTTCTCGGCCTCTGGCAAGGCGTCCTGCTATATCACACTCTAATCCATCTCTCTGACTGGGTTTTCCCCGTTGCATTTGGTATTGCTGGCAAACTTTTATTCGACTTCACTCTTCGAGGTCTAGATACAACAAACGCTGCTTGCACACTTCTTGGTGTCGCTCTTGGTGTTCTTGTCACGAATGTCCTTTCTGTCGTGTTCGAAGAACCAGGAAGTACAAGAGACGATGTCGGTATAAAGGAGAGGGAAAGGGGGGACAGAGAGAGGGAGAGATATGTTAGCAATAATAGTGCGCCACAGCCAGAACTTCCCTCTCGTCGAACTAGACTTGTGTCTTTCGACCGTTCACATCGTTCTCACCGAAAGGAACGTGAACGTGAAAGAGAGCGCGAACAACGAGAACGAGAACGAAATCATCACGATATTCATCGACAACCACAGCATCCCAATGCCCATTACGACCCCGCTTTACGAAATGTTGTTTCACCAGTTCCTACCCTTGCATATAGTATCGATACAGCTCCTTCAATTTCCATCGACTCAGTTTCCTCCTCTATCGATCCTCATGGAACTATGACTCCTCAAGAACGCGAAGTCGCTATCCTTAGACGCAGAGCTTCGCTCGCTGATTCGGAACGCAGGCGATTCAAAGAAGAGAGGAAGTGGGCTTTGAGTCAAGGGAATAAAGCTAGAGCTAATCAGTTAGCTTGGCAAGTGAAGAGGTTTACAGCTTTAATGGAAAGTTTTCATAGAGAAGCAGATGCGAAGGTCGTTGAAGGTGATGTTCATTTCCCTTCTCCTTCTTCATATATTCTGACATTAAATATGCATCAAACCTTTAGCCGCACGAGCAGCTTCACAACCGCCTATTCCCTTCCCTTCATCTTCAAACCCAGGACCTTCTCATCCTGGACCATCGACACGTCGTGCTTCATCTTCTCAACCTCAACCTAGCTCTTCATCTCATCATATTCAACATTCTCAACATGATCGACCTCCATTAGTCAGTGTCACAGTAGGGACAGCTCCAACTCATCAACCAGCTAATGCTCGGTCAAGAAAACGAAGTGGAGGTAGTGCAAGCGGAATATTAAAACCTGCTATTCACGTTCATGGGTCTGGCAGAGAGTGAGTATATTTTTGAATCTTATTTCATCCATTTTCTTTTGCCTCCTGGTTCTTTTTCTTGCTTGAAGAAGTCTTTCAACTGAAACTTACGTAGTATCTTCATTTCGTAGATCTGCAGGTCCAAGTAGAAGGAGGTGACGTATACCCTCAACAAAATGGACATATGGATTCCGACCACTCTTGAGTCAAGTTGCTGGATCATTTCATTGCTGGACCTTCTTTCCACTCATATACTATTGATCTTGCTTTCTATTCCTCTCATGGGAACTAGTGTATTGTACATACATACCTTTCATTCTCACTTAGGTTTTACTCCCACTGCTCACGATGATTTTAGATATCGATTCTAACGAGTTGAAAAGCTTTTGAAAAAGAAAAATAGTTTGTTTTCTGTTGATGGTTGGTCGTTCTGGATTGTAATAATTTGTTATTATATGTATTGTTTAGATACTTAGGAACATAAGTAAGAGAATCAAATTGCGAATTCAGTTTGGGTTTCTTTATATTTATATTCACGGTCCATCATGCATCAAACTTGAAAGTTGAAACATTGTACGCGCCAAATTTGAAATTGATCTTGTCCGAGAGGTGTTCAGTATACACGAGGCTATCAACCTCCTTCGGTCAAGTACTCCTCAATATGTTGCGCAATCTATTGTCTGAAATTAGCAATCAAAATGGTGCAGAAAGATCAACTCAATCCCCGCTAAATGAATTTAGTGTCCACTCTTGACAAAGACACCGAGCATTAATGGGGTAGTGGTAACCTGGGTCGTTGCCATGTTGATGACTCGACCCGCCGGGGGTTCGATTCCCTCTTAATGCATTTGGATCCAAGATGAATCCGTTTTTAAGTGTATGTTTTTCCATACATGAAGTTGCCTCCAGAGGATCCACGCAAGAAAGCTTGGAGATGATATTTCTTTGGAACAAAATAATCCAGATTGATAATGTGAATTTGCACATTGATGAATGCTACCTAAACAACAGTGACAGAAACAATGAAGAGGAGTCAAAAGAAAGAAAGCTTTGAAGACTAGACCTAGAATAAAAAGCGGATGTTGGCTGTGGGTAAATGGTGGACAGGACTGATAAGAGGATAATAAAAGGGCGATTGTCGATTGGTATAGCAAAAAAGCAGCCAAGCATGACAGACGAAGAAGTAGGGTTACGTATAAATGCGCGTGCGATATAGAAAGAGAAAAAGACGAGAGCGATGTGCATGAAGACAAGCGAGGAGAGAAAATTGATACGAGTGATACAGTAGAGAGAGAAATTCCGGGTTGATAATCAAGATAAAAAGTTCACAGAACAGCATATAATGGCAGAGGCGGGAGAGAGAAAGAGTGAACCGAAGAGGTGCGGAAACAGAAGGATACCAAGGATTCAAGAGAGAGCATCATCGATATCTGCCATTCGCATGAGAGGAATTAGTAGAAGCCGATGGTAACGATCCATTACTTCGCCCTGAGACAACGACTGAAGGTGTGGTGACCACATTCGTTGCCAACCTTGGTTTCTTCGGCGCAGACGTATGCCCATGAGTTTCGCTTGGTGTCCCTCTAGGACCGCTCTCTTTCATTACCATCTTCGCATGAATCTCCTCAAGTTTTCCTGCTTTGACTTTCTTCGGCCAGAACAAAGTAACGAAACTGTAAAGACAATCACGTTAAAGGCTGGTCTCTAAACCGTTAACTAGAAATGTAACTCACGTCCAGAGATGTCGACGCCAACGATCCCTATCTTCACCAGCCGCTTGCTTTTGTTGAAGAACGAACTCAATGCGTTTACCGATAGCTGCAAGAGATTCTTTAAGGATCGCCACTTTGTCGTCACGAGGCATATCGCCGCCCGACAACTTCAAGTTTTTCTACATCCGCCACCGGTCAGAATGACAGGAGATTGTAATAAGTAGTTGGAAATCTACTTACGAGCTGCTTCTTGACAGGCCTCAACTCCTCCTTTGTTGCGCTTTCGTCCATCGAAGGGCTAGTCACAAAATCAGCAACCCATGTAGATACCGAAACATAGAAATACGCACCATTCATCCGATGAGGACGAATCTGTGAATGTAGGAGTTGGTCTCCGCTTCCGCTTCTTTGTCGCACTCTCATCAACCGAAGCAACAGCCTCACTCTCAGCCCGACGCTGCCTCGAGCTCAAGCTACTGTACGAAGTTGAAGCAACCGGTGGTGGAGGAGAAACAGATGCCTTGACATAAGTCGATCCTTTCCGTTGCAATGTACTTTCGATGGCACGGATCTTCTCATCGTGCTCTCGAAGAATACTGAGCAAGAAATCCCCTCGACGAACGAGATGGATGGCGTTAGGAATGGGCTTGCTGGCAGCGTCTTCGGTCTTCTTCCCTTCCTCGAGGAAGAATTTACCTTCAAGTCCTAGTCGGGGATCTTTCGCCATGGCTTCCCAATTGCCGAATCCGTAGATGTATGCACCGACCAGAAGCATAGCATCTTCTTGAGGTCCCCAACGTCCAGACCAATTCAGCGTCGGTCGGATATTCTCAATTGGGATAGACCAGTTATAGATGTCATCCCCAAGGTCACCAAGGTATTTGAAGAGAATTTGCAAGTCGCGATGTCGAGAAAGAACAGTCTCAGCGTTGATGTTGCCGACGTTGCGATAACTGACTAGAACGGCTTTCGACTTTTGAGCATTGGTGAGAGTCTCGCCTGCCGCAATCCGAGCACGTTTCTCAGCGTTGGCATCATCGACCGCATGAGCACAAAGTTCAATGATATCGTCCGCTGTATCGATGATCATGCCCTTGTTCTTGTCTTGAAGCTTAGCTTCTTGTACCTGCGCAGTGTAAGCTTTACCTTCACGTTGCTACGATGTTAGAGATGTGGGAGGACGTACAATAATATCATACCGCTGCCGAATGTCACCCCATCGTTGCAAGCTACGGATTAAGACACGAACATCACGTTCCTTGAGCTCCATAGCCTTTTGCGAGGCCGTCTTGCGTTGTGGCGCAGGATTTTTGGGCTTTTTCGGTGGAGCAGACGTCGAGGGATGTTCAACATCCATACCTTCATAGGAAACTGGCGCATGAGAACGTTTCCTATCTTTCGACTCTTGAGCCGCAAGTTCCTCTGCCTTCCTATGCGCCTCATCCTGTTCGAATTTTTGTCGTTCCTCAAGCGGTATAATATCTTCCCAGCTCATGTCGTTCTTGACATCGCTGACATTTGCAAACTGCGCAAGGAACCCTTCACCACCCAGGGACGTACCCTCATTAGTGGATGCCACAGTTTCATGGTGTTCTGCACGATTCAGGATGTCGTCAAGATCCATCTCATCCAACTTCTGGTTCTGCTGGTTGTCATCTTTATCGAAGCTAAGCGAGAAGTCAGGAATGGAGAAAAATGAGTAAACAAAAACCTGGCCACATACATTCTCTGAGCGCCGTATTTCAAAACAGCATGTAGTTCGTCCTTGCTCAGGTCACTGGGTTTCGCATTATCTTTCGAAGCAGCCGTGCCTTTAGAGCTGAGGTGCGCTTGCGACGTGTCCATTTGGTTGATGACTGCATAGAGGCGACGGATATTGAGCTGGTTTCGTAATGGAAAGTGGGACAAAGCCTCATTGCGGACGGGGACTTACTAGCATATTCCAAAACCATCTTCTTCTTGGCACGCTCCAGGACATCCTCTTCCATCGTGTCCTTACTCACAAAGCGATACACACTAACGTGCGATTTTTGGCCGATACGATGCGCACGTGCCATGGCTTGCAGGTCATTCTGGGGGTTCCAGTCACTCTGACAGGAAATCGAGATCAGCAACGCGGTTCGTGCATTTCCCGACAAATTTCGGCGCCGAGAATAATCCAGAAAAGAAGGAACTTACATCGAAGATGATGACTGTATCTGCGGTCTCCAGGTTGATACCCAGCCCTCCTGCGCGTGTAGACAACAAGAAGGCAAAGTCCGTGGATCCAGGAGCATTGAAGTGCGCTATGGACTTCTTGCGCGCGTCAGACGAGACCATACCGTCCAATCGTTGGTGTTGATAACCCCGAAGAGACATATAATCACTCAGGATATCGAGCATCCGGACCATCTGACTGAAAATGAGGACTCGGTGGCCATCCTGACGAAGCCGAACGAGTAACTTGTCAAGCAATACCATCTTGCCGCTACTCATGACGAGGCCTTTCAACGTCTCCTCAGTATTATCGGTCCGAACTTCGGCACCATCGAACAAGTACGGATGATTAGCGGCCTTCTTTAACTCCATGGCTGTAGAATGTATCAGATAACAATTCACACCAATGTCAGAGGGGTCAAAACTCACCGATATTCAGCAAACTAATGTTATTATTGCCATGTGCACTCTTCACCAAGCCTTGGAAATTCTGAGAGACATCAGATTAGCCGGATCTATCCATCACAGACAAAGGTGATGTGACTGACCTTGGTAAGAATGTTTTTGTAGAAGTGCGTCTGGAGAGCAGACATCTCAACACGAAGGATGCGCTCGCTCTTAGTGGGAAGTGAAGTAAGGACGTCCCGTTTGAGACGACGAAGCATGAGAGACTCGAGTTGCTTGTGCAGCTCTTTGATCTTTTCTTCATGATCAGCGTCGGTCAAGTCGAACTCATTTGTCAGTTGGACTGTCACAGCAGAAAACATTAGGATTGAATGAACGGATAATAGCAGTGTACTCACATTTATCAGGCATAAGGAAATGCATCAACGCCAACAGCTCTACAATGGATAATGAACATCTGTCTCAATAGGAAAGAAGATAACATACCTTTAACATTGTTCTGCAGCGGAGTACCCGTAATCAGCAGCTTCGAAGCTGCTGAGAACGAGCTCAACGCTTCATAGAGCTGACTTTCTGAGTTCTTCAGTCTGTGAGCCTGGGTGACAAGGGTCGTCCAGTGAGGATATAAGAGAAAACGCGGGAAAGCCAGTTTATATACTTACCTCATCAACTGCGAGAACTTGCCACTTTATCTCCCCTAACTCCTTCGCGTCTCTAAGGGTAATCTCATACGTTGTCAGAAGCACGTTCATTTTCAGCTTCTTAGGTGTGGGGCCATAAAACTCGTATGTGCGAGCAACCTCTCGAGCCCCAGCATTGCCGATGTAGGTGACAACATTGATATCCGGCGCCCATGACGCAAACTGGCTTTGCCACGCTGTAATAGTAGAGAGAGGGACAATGACGAGGAATGGACCGTATTGTCGCATTTCATGGAAGAGGTAGGAAAGGAACGAGACACTTTGGACAGTCTAAATGAGATAAGGTGAGAAGAAACAAAACTAGAATAACGATAATTGTTACCTTTCCGAGACCCATTTCGTCGGCCAAGATGCCGTTTTCTCCTTTGGTCCACAAATAGGCTAACCAGTTCAAACCAGTCAGCTGGAAGTCCTTGAGTTCACCACCAGTAGACTGCAAGTATGGAGGATCTTCTGTGATTTTCTGGAAGGGGGGCCTCTGGTTCCTCTGATATACTGCGCTCTTATATGGGAACTTGGCTTCAGCTTCACGCCTGATGTAAGCATCGATTTGCTCCTTCGCAATTGGCCGAATGTCATCTTGCAACTCCCAAGTGCAATAATCGTAATTGAGAGTATTCCACTTGCAGAAATACTCGACTTTGTTGTCGTCGGTCTCGCGTTGGGCGATGATTCGTTCCACCGTCTTTTGCGTCTCGAGTTCCTCCTTTTCTCGCTCCTTTTCGAGTAGAAGTACTTCGTAGTCTTCGCGAGACAGATCGGGAGCCTTCAGTCGCTCGAGGTATTGCTTGTAAGACTTGATATAGTTGTCGACACGTTTGAGTCCTTTGAAT